CAGATGACACCCGAATCTGCATGACAGTGTCTTCCATTGCAGACACTGCAAAGGCTCCAGGGGGACATCAACCAAAATCTTTCAGTGGGCTGCAGAAAACAATATGAAGTTCAACGATGAGAAATTTAAATTACTCAGATATGGTAAACATGAGGAAATTAAAATCTTCATCAGAGTACAAAACAAATTCTGGCCACAAAATAGAGGGGAAACACCAACGTCAAAGACCTGGGAGTGATTATGTGGGAGGATCCACTTCAAGGACCATAAAAATTGTATCAATCGCATCTGCTAGAAAAATGACAGATGGATAATGAGAACCTTCAAAACTAGGGAGGCCAAGCCCATGATGACACTTTCAGGTCACTTGTTCTTCTAGGCTGGAATATTGCTGCACTCTAACAGCCCCTTTTTCAAGGCAGGTGAAATTGCCGACCTAGAAAATGTACAGAGAACTTTCACGGCGCGCATAACGGAGATAAAACACCTCAATTACTGGGGGCGCTTGAGGTTTCTAAACCTGTATTCCCTGGAACGCAGGAGGGAGAGATACATGATTATATACACCTGGAAAATCCTAGAGGGACTATACCGAACTTGACACGAAAATCACTCCTACGAAAGCAAAGACTTGGCAGACGATGCACCATCCCCCCAATGAAAAGCAGGGGTGTCACTAGCACGTTAAGAGACCATACAATAAGTGTCAGGGGGCCGAGACTGTTCAACCCGCCTCCAGCACAACATAAGGGGATTACCAACCAAGACCCTGGCAGTCTTCAAGGGTGACTGGACAAGCACCTAAAGGCAGTTCCCGATCAGCCGGGCTGTGGCTCGTACTTGGTTTGCGTGCAGCCCGCAGCAACAGCCTGGTTGATCAGGCGCTGATCCACCAGAGGCCGGTCCAGAAACCCGGGGCCCCGGGGGCGTTGACCCCGAAAAATCTCTCCAGTAAAAATCAAAGGGAAACCCACAAGTACGGCGCTACTAATTTAAATTTTGGACTGTATAGATTATATTAGTTTAAAATGAATGATGGGGGGGGGGTAGGTTACACTTGGATTTTATCCATCAAGGAAAACACTTGTACATAATCCCACCACTTACCAATATTCCTGGTGGTCACTTGATGTAGCTGGATCACCCATAACCTATCCAATTACAACATACCTAACTGGCCAGTATCAGTCTGCTATAACTAGAAAGGTTACTTAGCTGTGGGTGATTGATGCTCCTTATTTCCTCCATTCACCATCTCATTTCGATGTCCTGCTACACCGCCACGGTTCTTATTCCAGCAGGACAAGGTATCCGTTGGTTTGTCTCGGTTTAGAAGTCATGACTCCATAAAAACCTCACTATCCTCGAGACAGGAACAACGAGGTAAACATGTGCACACACACTCTGGGAATGGCAGCTCATATCGCTTCAACGATTCCTTTACTTTCTGTTATTATCACTGATTACATTACGATTCACAAGACGATTTAATGTCTCATAATTATTATACACATTAGAGGTCACTCCATTAAGATCTGAGACCGATGAGTGAGGATTAACTCACGGGTATTTCCCCTGGACACACACAATGGCCGCACACCAGTCAACCCCGGTCGAACCATTATTCACTAATTTTACCATCCTTTTACGGTGGTCCCGTAAATCACATTTACGTTCCCTCACTCTTCACCAGGAACAGTTACGACACTTCCTATTATGAAGTGAGGCCTATATTAATCCTTAGGCTGCTGTGAATGCCAATTTCCTGGTCCCATGTTTTCACAGCCTCCTCACTCCATTCAAAACACTCCCGCCTCTCTCATGCCCTACCTCGACCTCTCCCCCCACACATCCGCGCAGGTGCAGGGTGAACCCGGTTGGTTCTATTTAAAATACAATTTAGAACAACAGTAATGCATTAATCATGTATATTTACATTATAAAAATATATACAGTATAATTATGGGAATTTATTTTCCACAATACTTAACCCCTGACAATTTCGATTTAGGCAGAAAAAGACCCCCACTAATGATGCATTAATACAAATGCAAGCACTCGAAAAAAAATGAATAGCTACTAATGCTCTTCATTGACCTACGGAAACTATTTGATGCAGTGGAACACAATCTCTTGCACCTAAAACGTGGGTCAGAGGACATTCCCTCGATTACCTAAAATCCTATCTTGATATTAGACACCAGTATGTACACATAAATGGAGTTCAACAGGGTAGTGTCCTTGGCCCACTACTATTTCTCATTTACATCAGTGACCTTCGCAACGCATCTAAACTCCTTAAACCAGTTATATTCGCAAATGACACTACTTATGTCTTCTCGTACTCAACCCAGCTATGCTTGGAGACACTTGGATGACGACTAACAAACTCACTCTCAATATAGACAAAGCCTACTTCATGCTGCTTGAAAAACAGAGCTTCAAATATTCGGCTAAACATATCAATAAATGGCTCCCCCATTACAAGACATACTGAGGGCAAAGCTCTAAGTCTTCATCTTGACTGCAATCTTAAATTTCATGCTCACATCCAGCATATATCCAAGAAAGTCTCCAAAACAGTAGGCATCCTTTCCAAGATACGGTACTATGTACCCCAAATAACACTCCTTGCACTATACCACGTTCTAATCTACCCTTACTTCACCTATGGTATTTGTACTTGGAGTTCAACCATGGCCAATCATCTTAAACCTTTAATAACCTAACAAAAAGCTGCTGTGCGGATGATCAAACTCAGGCGCCAGACAGCACACCCCACTACTCTTCAAAAGGTTGAACTTACTTATTATACAAAATATCACTCATATTATTGTGCCTACTACATATACAGAACATTATACTCCAACATAAACCTTTCTCTCAAACTCCTTGACAAGTACAACAGAACGCACAGGCATCCCACAAGACACAAAACACTCTTCGACATCCCTCGTGTCTGTCTCATCCTATGCAAAAATGTAATGCAGATAAAGGGCCTGAGGATTTGGAATTATTTACCTGAACCAGCAAAAGGTCCTCTGCCTGCAAATCTATTTAGGGCCATACTTAAAAATCATATCATCTTTCAATATTAACCATACCAGCACCATGCTAAATGATATAGCCAGTCTGAAGCAACTCAAGAAAAAAAAAATTACGATCACTTGATTAACCAAACATTAATACATACTTACTATTGTAAGTACTACTATTGTTGTGGAAATTATTTAATTTCCGAAGCTATAGTGCCTAATAAGTGTTTAATGTGTTGATTTGGGTCAAAATGTATTTGTATTTTCAATAGAACCAACCGGGTTCGCCCTGTGCCTGCGTGGATGTGCGGGGGGGACAGGTCGACTCAGGGCAGGGGCTGGCGGCAGTGTTTTGAATGTAGTGAGGAGGCTGTGAAAACATGGGATCGGGAAATTGGTGTTCACGGCGGCCTAAGGATTAATATAGGCCTCACTTCCTAATAGGAAGTGTCGTAACTGTTCCTGGTGAAAAGTGAGGGAACGTGATTTACGTGACCACCGTAATAAAGTGGTAAAATGAGTGGATAATAGTTTGACCGGGGGTGACTGGTGCGCGGCCATGATGTGTGTCCAGGGGAAATACCCGTGAGTTAATCCTCACTCATCAGTCTCAGATCTTAATGGAGTGACCTCTAATGTGTATAATAATTATGAGACATTAAATCGTCTTGTGGATTGTAATGTAATCAGTGATAATAACACTAAGTTAAGAGAATATGTGAAGTGAAATGAGTCGCCGTTCTCATAGTGAGCATCGGTTTATCTCGTGTTCCTTGTCTCGAGGATAGTGAAGGTTTTATGGAGTTACGACTTCTAAACCGGGATAAACCAACGAATACCTCGTCCTGTTGGAATAAGAACTGTGTCGGTGTAGCAGGACATCGAAATGAGATGGTGAATGGAGGAAATAGGAGTATCAATCGCCCACAGTTAAGTAACCCTTCTAGTTATAGCAGACTGATACTGGCCAGTTAGGTATGTTGTAATTGGATAGGTTATGGGTGATCCAGCTACATCAAGTGACCACCAGAGAATATCTGGTAAGTGGTGGGATTATGTACAAGTGTTTTTCCTTGATGGATATATCCATGTGTAACCTACCCCCCCCCCCTTCATTCAGTTACACTAATATAATCTATACAGTCCACAATTAATTAGTAGCGCCGTAGTTGAGGGTGCTATCCAATTTATACTGGTCTCGGAGAGATATGGATAAGATTGTGAGGGTCGAGGGGGCCACCTGCAGTGACCAGAGGTGGTTAAGTTTTCTCACATGTCTACTCGGGGTGACTGCGGTAAACAATATAGTTGTTGTCTCCCAATGAGATTACTCGTTTGTATGTAATGTTGAGGTACGTACAGGTAATCACCCCTATAAAATTTTCCATAATTGTAATTGTAATACTATAATTGTATAATAGTAATTGTAATACTGTTTTTAATGCTACTTCTCAAATATAAATTTTATTACTGAAAAACATTATCCACCTCACTGTTGTAATAAAGAAAACAATGTATAATTAAAATTTACTACTCTTTACTTGTCTAGTCTTAAGGGGCACGTCAGTTCCCCTGTCTTCTAATATGTTATTTTTTCCCTGTAATCTACCTTATCCATAATTACTGTTGCATTTGCTCAGTCCTCTGCAACACAATTGTCATCAAAAATTTGTTAAGTTATACCAAGAATTAAGTAAAGATCCTGGACTTCACCTTACGAAGCAGACAAAGCAAATGCTATAGTAATTATGGACAAGGTAGATTATAGTGGAAAAATAAACATGATATTAGGAGACAGGGAAACTCAAGCGCCTCTTAAGCAGCCAGTAAACATTAGTATTAGTCTGCCCGAAATGCCCCGGCATGTTAGTGGTTTTCTTTGTACCAAACAACACCTATAACATGTAAACACACACTGTAACCTTTGCAAAGAAATAAATTTTGTCTTTTGTTTATATTCCATAGAGACAACCTTCGTCAGTGGTGGATAGAAAACACCTTGAATGGAATTCCTCGAACTATTATTGGCTTGAGGACTAATGATGGAATAGTGCACACATTGAAATATTATGAAGCTCGTGAACTATTGGAGGTATGTTGCTTAAAATATTGAAATGTTTATATCCTTATCCTGAGTTCCATTTTATTTCTCATCTCGTTGCTTGTTCAGAACATATTTTATTGTTCGTTTTATGTTTCTTTGTTCGTTTCTCACTCGTATGTCATTTCTTGTTTGCCTCACTCTTTTTTATTTCTCAGCTAGATCAGCATATGTAAATCTTTCGATGTTTGAAATACACATTCAGGTTGTGTATGGCATGTGAAAAGTTGTGTAGAGCATGTGAAAAGCTGTGTAAGCATATGAAAAGTTGTGTACAGCATGTGAAAAGCTGTGTAAGCATGTGAAAAGTTGTGTACAGCATGTGAAAAGTTGTGTACAGCATGTGGAAAGTTGTGTACAGCATGTGAAATGTTGTGTACAGTATGTGAAAAGTTGAACATTAAAATGGTATAAAATACCGACAGATTGTTAGGTAAGACACATATGCAACAGTTAGGTATCTTTATTTTGAAACGTTTCGCCTACACAGTAGGCTTCTTCAGTCGAGTACAGAAAAGTTGATAGAAGCAGAAGATACTGAAGACGATGTAATCAGTCCATCACCCTTAAAGTTTTGAGGTGGTCGTCCCTCAGTCTGGAGAAGAGCATTGTTCCGTTGTCTGAAAACAATATTGTTTCAGACAACGGAACAATGCTCTTCTCCAGACTGAGGGACTGACCACCTCAAAACTTTAAGGGTGATGGACTGATTACATCGTCTTCAGTATCTTCTGCTTCTATCAACTTTTCTGTACTCGACTGAAGAAGCCTACTGTGTAGGCGAAACGTTTCAAAATAAAGATACCTAACTGTTGCATATGTGTCTTACCTAACAATGTGAAAAGTTGTGTATGGCATGTGAAAAGTTGTGTACGGCATGTGAAAAGTTGTGTACAGCATGTGAAAAGTGTATGGCATGTGAAAAGTTGTGTAGAGCATGTGAAAAGTTGTGTACAGCATGTGAAAAGTTGTGTACAGCATGTGAAAAGTTGTGTATGGCATGTGAAAAGTTGTGTACAGCATGTGGGAAAAATTTTGTAGGCATGTGAAAAGTTGTGTTTTCGGCATGTAAAAAGTTGTGTACGGCATTTGAAAAGTTTGTGTACAGCATGTGAAAATTTTGTACGGCATGTAAAAAGTTGTGTACAGCATGTGGAAAAGTTGGTGGGACAGCATGTGAAAAGTTGTGTACGGCATGTGAAAAGTTGTGTACGGCATGTGAAAAGTTGTGTACGGCATGTGAAAAGTTGTGTACGGCATGTGAAAAGTTGTGTACGGCTGTAAAAAGTTTGTTTCAGCATGTGAAAAGTTGTGTACAGCATGTGAAAAGTTGTGTACGGCATGTAAAAAGTTGTGTAGAACATGTGAAAATTTGTGTACAGCATGTGAAAAGTTGTGTACAGCATGTGAGAAGTTGTGTATGGCATGTGAAAATTTGTGTACAGCATGTGAAAAGTGTACAGCATGTGAAAAGTTGTGTACAGCATGTGAAAAGTTGTGTACAGCATGTGAAAAGTTGTGTACAGCATGTGAAAAGTTGTGTAGAGCATGTGAAAACTTGTGTATAGCATGTGAAAAGTGTACAGCATGTGAAAACTTGTGTACAGCATGTGAGAAGTTGTGTATGGCATGTGAAAAGTTGTGTAGAGCATGTGAAAAGTTGTGTACAGCATGTGAAAAGTGTACAGCATGTGAAAAGTTGTGTACAGCATATGAAAAGTTGTGTAGAGCATGTGAAAAGTTGTGTACAGCATGTGAAAAGTGTACAGCATGTGAAAAGTTGTGTAGATCATGTGAAAATTTGTGTAGAGCATGTGAAAAGTTGTGTACAGCATGTGAAAAGTTGTGTACAGCATGTGAAAAGTTGTGTACAGCATGTGAAAAGTTGTGTACGGCATGTGAAAAGTTGTGTACGGCATGTGAAAAGTTGTGTACGGCATGTGAAAAGTTGTGTACAGCATGTGAAAAGTTGTGTAGAGCATGTGAAAAGTTGTGTAGAGCATGTGAAAAGTTGTGTACAGCATGTGAAAAGTTGTGTACGGCATGTGAAAAGTTGTGTACGGCATGTGAAAAGTTGTGTACGGCATGTGAAAAGTTGTGTAGAGCATGTGAAAAGTTCAAGATGTCTGAGGAAGAATGTACGTTCCTTAAAAGAGCGAAACATGTTGCTGGTCAGTGATCAAAACATTTGCCTTATAAATTAAAGGTCCTGGTCAGAATCCTAGGTAGAGCGAAACTTAGTCTCATTATACCCGATGTTTTTATTTCACAATGTTACATGAATGAACTTCAGGTTAATGATCCCCTGGGACTGATTATAATTTATCTTGTAGATTACCATCAAAATGGAAGGATTTAATACCCAAAGTGGCAAAACGAATTAATTCACTTGCAAAAGAAAGATTTATACACTCGTTGTTTCTACCCATACACCGTCCGGTGTATGTTTGAAATAAACAAACTTTGGCATACATATAAATGAATATAAATAATGTATATTTCTGGGATTTCTCCACTGCAGGAAAACTAATTTGAAAAAAATAAAAGATAACTAGATGTACGTATTTAGATCACCGTGTGATCCAGGGAAGGTATCCCAGCATACATAAGGGGGATTACCAATAGACCCCTGGCTGTCTTCAATCAGGCACTGGACAGGCACCTAAAGTTAGTACATGACCAGCTGGGATGTGGTTTGTACGTTGGACTACGTTCGGCCAGCAATAACAGCCTGGTTGATCAGGCCCTGATTCCACCATGAGGCCTGGTCACAGACCGGGCCGTGGGGGCGTTGGCCCCCGGAACTCTCTCCAGGTATACTCCAGGTATTACTTAACCCCAGCTCCCTCTACCTCAGTGCACGTGACTAGAATAATGCAGTGCTCTATATAAGTCTGTTATGCAGTTAAATATTAGTTTTGAAGATTTGAAAGAAATCAGAGAAGGCATTCACACGTCTGTCACGTGGAAATTAACATCCAAATATTTTCAGTAAAAAAATATGTGAAATTAAGATATACACAGCCCAATTCTAATTCAAAACTTCCAATAGGAGACACCAATACTGAGGTCAGTATAAAATACAATAGTACATTAAATGCCTAAGCTGAAAGGGGCCAGTATATCTGAAATATGAAGGGAGGCAGTGGTCAGAGATATAGCAAATATCGAACTTAAGCTTAAGGAATCATACAGGAAACAAGAAACTCAGGAAGAACTAAAAACCATAAATGAAATTGAAAGAAACCTAAAATATTTCTTTTCTTATGCCAAATCTATGGCATAAACAACATCCAGCATTGGAGCCCTGCTTAGACGAGATGGGTCTTACATTGATGACACCAAGGAAACGAGTAAGATACTAAAGGCCCAGTATGACTCGGTGCTTAGTGAGCCGCTAACCAGCCTGAGTCAACAACCTAAATCAATTTTTTATGACCGATACTCAGAATTTGGCCAATTCAGATATCTCTGATATTATCCTAACACCACATGACTTCGAGAAGCAATAAACGACATGCCCATGCACCCTGCCCCAGGCCAAGACTCGTGGAACTCTGTGTTCATCAAAAACTGCAAGAAGCCCCTGTCACGTGCCTTTAGCAATCTGTGGAGAGAGAGCGTGGACACAGGGGTCATCCCACAGTCACTTAAAACGACAGACATAACCCCACTACACAAAGGTGACAGTAAAGCAACAGCAATTACAGACCAATAATATTAACGTCCCATATCATAAAAATCTTTGAAAGGGTTCTAAGAAGCAAGATCACCACCCATCTAGATACCCATCAGTTATACAACCCAGGGCAACACGGGTTTAGAGCAGCTTGTCCCGACTACTGGATCACTATGACAAGCTCTTGTTTGCTCTAGAGGGCAAACAAAATGCAGATGTAGTATACACAGACTTTGCGAAAGCTTCGACAAGTGTGACCACGGTGTAATAGCGCACAAAGTGCATGAAAGAGGAATAACAGGAAAAGTTACATAGATCTATAGCTTCCTAACAACTAGAACACAAAATGTAATAATAAACAGAGTAAAGTCTGAGACAGCCAGAGTGAAAAGTTTTGTTCCACAAGGCACAGTACTTGTTCCCATTCTGTTCCTTATCCTCATATCTGACATAAACAGAGATGTAAGCCATAGCTACGTGTCTTCCTTTGCGGATGACACCCGGGTTTGCAAGACAATCTCCTCCATTGCAAGACTCCAAGCGGACATCAACCAAATCTTTAACTGGGCCACAGAGCACGCTAACACAATTAGTGTTAAGGGCCTAAGACTGTTCAACTGCTTCTCAGCATACATAAGGGGGATTACCAATAGACCCCTGGCTGTATTCAAGGAGGCGCTGGACATGCACCTGAAATCAGAACCTGACCAGCAGGGCTGTGGTTTGTATGTCAGTCCAAGTGCGGCCAGCAGTAACAGCCTGGTTGATCAGGCCCTGTTCACTGACCGGGCAGCATGGATGTTGACCCCCGAAACCGTCTTCAAGTATACTCCAGGTTATTCTGGGTTAATCAGCAAAATACGCTCTTAGTGTCTATAACATTTGTGTACCCCAAATACCATTGTCAAAAATTTGTATGCACACAAACCATAAGTAAAACTTAATTATTTACCTTGAGTATACCTGAGTCAACGCTCCCACGGCTTCGTGACCAGGCCTCATGATGGATCAGGGCCTGATCAACCAGGCTGTTCCTGCTGGCCATACGCAATCCAATGTATGAACCACAGCCCAGCTAGTCAGGTACTGATTTTAGGTGTCTGTCCAGCTACCTCTTGAAGAGAACTAGAGGTCTATTGGTAATCCCCCTTATGTATGCTGGGAGGCAGTTGAACAATTTTGTGCCCCTGACACTTACTGTGTTAACTCTCAGTACACTCATGGCGCCCCTGCTTTTCACTGGGGGATGTTGCACCGCCTGCTGAATCTTTTGCTTCCGCAGGGAGTGATTTATTTATGTGTTCAGATTTGGGACTAGTCCTTCTATGATTTTCCAGGTGTAAATTTTGATGTATTTTTTTTTTTTTTTGCTAGCATTCCAAGGAATACAGATCAAGGGAATTCAACCTTTTCCAGTAACTGAGATGCTTTATTGTACTTATATACCTGCAGTGAAAGTTCTCTGTATATTCTCGATATCTGCAGTTTCACTAGTGTACAGCAATACTCCAGCCTAGAGAGAACAAGTGATTTGAAAAAACTAATCAATGGTTTGGCATCACTAATTTTGAAGGTTCTCATTATCCATCCTATAATTTTCCTAACAGATGTGGTAGAAACATTTTCGTGGTCTTTGAAAGTGAAATTCTCTGACAGTGTCACTCCCAGGTCTTTCACAAGAGTTTTTCGCTGCATTGTGTAGTTAGAATTTGCTTTATACTCCGATCCAGTTTTCATTTCCTCGAGTTTTCCATAGTCGAGTAATTGAAATTTCTCTTCATTGAACTCCATATTGTTTTCTGCGGCCCATTTGAAGGCTTGGCTAATGTGCACTTGGAGATTTGCAGTGTTCTCAGTGGATGAATAACACTCATGGTACTGTCTGCAAAGGACATGTTGCTGTGGCTTACATCTCTGTCTGTCAGATATGAGGATGAGAAACAGGATGGGGGAGAGTACTGTGCCTTGTGGAACAGTTTCTCACTGTAGCCGCCTCAGACTTTACTCTGAGGCGTTCTATTAGGAAATTCAGGATCCATCTACCTACTTTTTCTCTTATTCCTTTACCACACATTTTGTGTGCTATTACACCATGATCTTACTTGTTGAAGGCTTCAGCAAAGTTTGTATATACATGTACTACATTCTGTCTGTGTAGGTCACAGTTTGCTTCCATGAAAGAAATTGGGTAACTTGAAATACTGCTTATCATGCAATAATTTCCTAGTGTTGCATCTACTTAATTTCACCCCTTCCATGCTGATAACCTCATGATATAATTTTTTAGCAACGTCAGCCTTAAGCATACCTCAAGTGCCACAGAGATTCAGATCCATGTTGTTTAGGATATTTTCCCAGCTTGTTTAATTTAGGACATGGTTAACTTGATTCCACTATATGCTTTTGTTATTGAAGTTGAATTTAGTGACGGCACCCTCATAACCGATCACATTTTGTTGGTCAGGAGCCTTGCGCCTACATGTCTGTACCTCTATTATGTTGTGATCTGAGTGTATTGTCTTTGATATGGTTATATTTCGTATCATATCATCATTGTTAGTGAAGTGAGGTCCAGTGTATTCTCTAGTCTTGTTGGCTCTGTTATTTGCTGGTTTAAGGTGAATTTGGTGCAGAGATTTAATAGCTCATGTGTGCATGAATTTTCATCTGAGCTGCCTCCTGGGGTTATCTCTGCTAAAACATTATTTGCTACGTTCTTCCATTTTAGGTGTCTTAAGTTGGGGCAGGAGTTAGAAGATTTTCCAGACAGTGGTCATTTTTCAAAAGTCGTTCCTGAAATTGTTGATATGTTGCATCCGGAGGTTTGTATACAACGACAATGACAAGGTTTTCATTTGCGATCTTTACTGCCAAAACTTCAACTCATCATTTGAGGTGCTTAGTAGTTCTGAGCATATGAGTGATTCTGTGCCATACAGTCCAACCCTCCCTTATAGCTTTAACCTGGGATCCATATTTGGTTGTCAAAGTGATCCTTTATGTGGGTCTCTGTGAAAGCCGCAAACATTGCGTTCAACTCTGTGAGGAGTCCACTGATGAAGGGTATTTTTTTGTTCATTGCTGGCTTTACACCCTGTATATTTGTAAGGATAAATGTCGTCGTGTTGATGGTATGTGGGGGGGGGGGGTAGCTTTGTTTGCTGGCACTAATATTGTATTGGAGTGGAGGCCACTTACTGTGATTCTGCTCCTGAAATGATATGAGTTGGTGTACGATTTCTGTCATTTCTTGCCAGCTTTTTTTTTTCTTAGCACTAAAAAACCTCTGTCTCTGGAGCGGTTGTGGCTACCCTGTTTTGTTGCCCATGGTCTGAGTGATTTGTATCTTCTTGTCCCCTTTAGGTAGTGTGCCTAGCAATTTATGTTGTGTCATCGTCTTTCCTGGACTGAAGAGTGACACATTTCAGGGTGGGAAAAAATTGCAGGAAACAGAGTTACATTCTCCTGGTGTCATGTGGGCACATAATTTTCTGGGATGATCAGAACTGCACGTACCACAAGTTTTTCCAGATATTTCATGCCTGCAGGTATCCAAGGCATAGAATTTGCATGGGTTTGATTTCTGTTTGCTATGGTTTTCCGTGACTGCATTCTCTACTGGTGTGTTTGTTTCAGACTCCCCACTATCAACAGTATCTGTGACCAATTACTATTATTATAATCAAGGGGAAGCGCTAAACCCGTAGGATTATACAGCACCTGTGACCAAGCCTGGTCACAGACTGGGTCACGGGGACGTTGATCACCGAAACCCTCTCCAGGTATTCCTCGCATCAGCCCCTTGCTTGCCATCTCCAGTGGTACTGCTATTTTGTAACTCGAGTTCACATATCTTTGTCTATACCTGTTTCCTTAGCACCAGGACCCCTGTCCCTCTCTGGTGCAATGGTTTTCATTTCTTTATTCTTACAGGTACTGTCCTCCAAGACAGCATCAGCACCAGGGGTGACAGTACCATCTGGTCCACCCTTATTTTCTCAGCTGTTAAACAAGACTGTCAAGTTTTTTAAGAAAACTTGTTTCAATGTTTCTGTCTTTTATTACAGATGTAATTTTTTCCAACATGTGCCTATTGTTAGGGCAGACCCAAAAACATTTTCTTGATTTAATGTCCTTGAACGATTGTTGAATATCTACACACAATGCATGAGACCATTTTCCACAGAAGTTGCATGCAATCCAGGCAGAAGATCACTTGCTGCTGAGTGTGCAGACTACACAGTGTTTCATGAATTAGTTTTGTGTTGGCTATACTGTAGTTCTGTCTATTATTCCAGTGTTTGGTACATATACTTTTATTGCTTATTTATATACTAGTTTTATTGCTTTTTTATATACTAGTTTTATTGCTTATTTATATACTAGTTTTATTGCTTATTTATATACTAGTTTTATTGCTTATTTATATACTAATTTAATTATTTATAGTTTCAGTGTCTCATACATCAAACTTTACTCGTACACTTGACTGATCTCCTAGGCAAGCTAGTATATATATACATATATATCTATATATATAATTTTTTGATTTATGTAGTTTCAGTGCCCCCCCCCCACTAAACTGATAAACGTGACCGATCTCCTGGTAGGCTTGTCAAACACTGCGACTGTTTCTGACCAAAAGAGACATTCTCTAATTATTTCACAGAAACCATTCTTCTCTGTATTGGACTGAAGAAGTCACTGACTGATGAAATGTTTCTGTAATAAACATTTTTAAATGTTGCCCAAGTGTCTCATTCTTCACATTACTGTACATTACCTGGAGTTTACCTGGAGAGAGTTCCGGGGGTCAACGCCCCCGCGGCCCGGTCTGTGACCAGGCCTCCTGGTGGATCAGAGCCTGATCAACCAGGCTGTTGCTGCTGGCTGCACGCAAACCAACGTACGAGCCACAGCCCGGCTGATCAGGAACTGACTTTAGGTGCTTGTCCAGTGCCAGCTTGAAGACTGCCAGGGGTCTGTTGGTAATCCCCCTTATGTATGCTGGGAGGCAGTTGAACAGTCTCGGGCCCCTGACACTTACTGTATGGTCTCTTAACGTGCTAGTGACATCCCTGCTTTTCATTGGGGGGATGGTGCATCGTCTGCCAAGTCTTTTGCTTTCGTAGTGAGTGATTTTCGTGTGCAAGTTCGGTACTAGTCCCTCTAGGATTTTCCAGGTGTATATAATCATGTATCTCTCCCTCCTGCGTTCCAGGGAATACAGGTTCAGGAACTTCAAGCGCTCCCAGTAATTGAGGTGTTTTATCTCCGTTATGCGCGCCATGAAAGTTCTCTGTACATTTTCTAGACAATCATTGTGTTTTCTTGAATTTTACGTCAAAGACTGAATTAAAACTTAACAAATATATTACAAATTTCCACTGAAATTTGCTAACTTTTGTTAAATGTTGTATATTTCACTTAGATCGGATATTTACAATGTTAAATTTAAATCTCCAGTTTGCTCCAACAATATAGTGAAATACTAATTAATTCATTTTGTCCTGGCAGGATGAAAGTGAAGCTGACGTGTGTGTTAACTTCTTGGTCCAATTTTTGACTTTTGTGAAAACCAAGATGGCTGCCGATACCAAAGCCGAGTACAGATTCGTCTGTGAGAGAAATGGAAACATTTACTGTACTAAGTTGCCAGATTCTGCTCGTGCAAGCCTCCTGCCAAGCTGGTACACGGAGAAAATATTCTCCAAAGATACAGGAAGTAAATGTGAAAGCAAGAGAAAATAAGAGTGAAATTAAAGTTCGCAAAAGGGTGACAGAGGTTGGATATGAATAGAACTACTCAAAGAATTAGCTGTCTAAGGAAGTTCTTTGGGTAGCCATGATACTAGGTTGGACACTACTTCTGTTTGAGAGGTTCAAGTTAAGAAAAACTTGCATAGTATAGGCCGGTAGGCCTGCTGCAATGTTTCTCCATTCTTATGTTATTATAATACATTAGATGCTTGGTAAATGTGGGTGCTCCATTATTCATCTAAATGAGGCCGGGGAGGGGAGGGTGTGTTTACATAAAAGAAAAATGCTAATTTGATGTTTTTTGTATAAATAGTTTTTAATTTGTAATGGTAATAATAATAATAATAGTAATAATAATAATAATAATAATAATAATAATAATAATAATAATAATAATAATCGTAATCTTTATTTCTACAAGTACATGATACAACTTACACAGAACTTGCTGGTGGACGGCCCTTGATTATGCAGAACATTTCGGGCAACTTGGGTTAATTTTGTCCCCAGGATGCGACCCACACCATTCGACTAACACCCAGGTACCTACTTACTGCTAGGTGAACAGGGACAACAGGTGTAAGGTGATTAACAACTAGGTACCTACTTACTACTAGGTGAACAGGGACAGCAAGTGTCTTTAAAGGAAACACGCCCAATAAAGGACCCCAATGGAAATAGGTCACTCTGACGTTTTGGGTTATCCTAGATACTTTACACATATGCTGCTATATATGATACTCTATGTAGCTGTATTTGTGTATATCTGAATAAACTTACGACTTCCGCGTGTACCGGGGATCGAAACACGGACCTCAGTGTGTAAGCTACGGGCACCAAGAGTCACAATACACATAATTATGCTTTTTTATACCATATCTGCCATGTTAAACAAAGATCATATGAGAATAATGAAAATCAATATGGTGCACTCGGACGAAAACTAAAACTTGTAAATATTGATTAATTTTATAAAAATGGTTAGAACATATGTGGACCCCCGGTTAACGATATTTTTTCACTCCAGAAGTATGTTCAGGTGCCAGTACTGACCGAATTTGTTCCCATAAGGAATATTGTGAAGTAGATTAGTCCATTTCAGACCCCCAAACATACACGTACAAACGCACTTACATAAATACACTTACATAATTGGTCGCATTCGGAGGTAATCGTTATGCGGGGGTCCACTGTACTTTTATTATTATTAAAGATTCGCCGGTATTCTTCCGGCCCGGGCTTTTTCCAAGTGGTGGCCCGGCCTTGGCTCCCTCTCTTGGGAGTGTCTGAGACCTAAGTCTCCCATGGGAGGAAGCACAAGTACCTCCTCATCTTTGGGACCAACTGTCCCCAGGCCTAGCCACAAGCTAGGCCTCTCTGGGCATGGTGTCGATGAGAGAACATATACATACACCAAGCAGTCTTATACAAAGACGAACAATACTAGCGATTACAAATAAAATAAAATATACCATTTTAATTTTCAGCTCCTAAAATGAATAAGCAAGTAAGTTTATTTAGGCACAGGTATACATAACCACAATTATCATACATGGTGTAAGTTACCAAGAATATCTCGAAAAAGTCAAAGTAATTTATTTCTAGGTTAGGTTAGGTAAAGATTAGCCGGTATTCTCCCGGCCCGGGCCTTTTCCAAGTGGTGGCCCGGCCTTGACTCCCTCTTTAGGGAGTGTCTGAGACCGAAGTCTCCCATGGGAGGAGGCACAAGTACCTCCTCATCTTTGGGACCAACTGTCCCCAGGCCTAGCCACAAGCTAGGCCTCTCTGGTCTGCCATCCCCGCCCCAAAGGAGCAAATGGGAATGACAGTCTTATGAGCTAAAAGCTCGGACTCAGGCACCTACCCTACCCTAGAAGGGTTAGGCATGGTGTCGATGATTTATTTCTAGAAGGATCCTTGTAATATCTTACTTAAACTTTAAAAGTTAAAACAGTTAAGTAACTCTATGTGAATATCAGTTACAATTAAAGAAAATATAATAGGAATAAGGTAAACTGAGTTATTTATATTAAAGAGGGGATCAGCTTACAATAATTGATACATAAATGTTAGCAATACAGGAATGTATTAAATATTTCTTAATTGGTATTTAGCCTATTAGGTGTCGTAGAGCTCGATTGGTAGCGCACTCAACTTACACGCTGAGGTCCGGGGATCGAATCCCCAGTACGGCCGGAAAACATTAAGACGTGTTTCCTTAAGACACCTGCTGTCCCTGTTCACCCATTATTACATGTACTTGTAGTAAATAAGGATTATTATTATTATTATTATTATTATTATTATTATATTATGAGAATTCTGTACATGTGCATAATGACCGTATATAAAAATTCAGTTAATTTATAATATAATAATAATAATAATAATAATAATAATAATAATAATAGTAATAATAATAATAATAATAATAAAAGTCTCATAACCAGGTTAGGTCGGGAAACAGGACAAGTGTTTCCTGACGCAGGTCTTAGTCATATGATGACCCGCCACTGGAGCTTTTGGTCATCTGACCGAGGCCTTCCGCTGGCTTACCCTTCCACCTTTAAAAATTATGGTCATAGTTACAAACATTCAGACCAACTTCTAGAAAAACTTACTGATATTTATCAAAAACCTATATATAAAAAAAAATTGCACATTAGATAAGTTGAGAAAAAAAATCATTCCCAGAATAAAAATTAACATACACCTTTCTTGACAGATTATTTTTAATATAAAAACATCAAATACCATACTAATAAAAAAAAAATTGATCGACACCATGCCTAACCCTTCTAGGGTAGGGTAGGTGCATGACCCCGAGCCTTTAGCTCATAAGACTGTCATTCCCATTTGCCCCCTTGGGGTGAGGATGGCAGACCAGAGAGGCCTAGCTTGTGGCTAGGCCTGGGGAGTTGGTCCCAAAGATGAGGAGGTACTTGTGCCTCCTCCCATGGGAGACTTAGGTCTCAGACACTCCCTAAAGAGGGAGCCAAGGCCGGGCCACCACTTGGAAAAGGCCCGGACCGGGAGAATACCGGCGAATCTTTAATAATAATAATAATAAAATCAAATTTAAACAAGAAATAATACATATACTGATTTTTCTATATCACTCCAGGTATACTCCAGGTATACTCAAGTATACTCAAGTATACTCATCGGCGGATAATTCAAGGATTATTATACAAATATGTAATTCAAATTGGAATATAGACATAAGCTGATAAAGACAGTCTTCTCTGACAATATTGTTGTCCCACACGTTGACACTGACAGCATTGTTGTCCCACACGTTGACACTGAGAGCATTGTTGTCCCACACGTTGACACTGACAGCATTGTTGTCCCACACGTTGACACTGACAGCATTGTTGTCCCACTCGTTCACACTGACAGCATTGTTGTCCCACACGTTGACACTGACAGCATTGTTGTCCCACACGTTGACACTGACAGCATTGTTGTCCCACACGTTGACACTGACAGCATTGTTGTCCCACACGTTGGCACTGACAGCATTGTTGTCCCACACGTTGACACTGACAGCATTGTTGTCACACACGTTGACACTGACAGCATTGTTGTCCCACACGTTGACACTGACAGCATTGTTGTCCCACTCGTTGACACTGACAGCATTGTTGTCCCACACGTTCACACTGACAGCATTGTTGTCACACACGTTGACACTGACAGCATTGTTGTCCCACACGTTGACACTGGCAGCATTGTTGTCCCACACGTTGACACTGACAGCATTGTTGTCCCACACGTTGACACTGACAGCATTGTTGTCCCACACGTTGACACTGACAGCATTGTTGTCCCACACGTTGACACTGACAGCATTGTTGTCCCACTCGTTGACACTGACAGCATTGTTGTCCCACACGTTGACACTGACAGCATTGTTGTCACACACGTTGACACTGACAGCACTGTTGTCCCACACGTTGACACTGACAGCATTGTTGTCCCACACGTTGACACTGACAGCACTGTTGTCCCACACGTTGACACTGACAGCACTGTTGTCCCTCACGTTGACACTGACAGCATTGTTGTCCCACACGTTGACACTGACAGCACTGTTGTCCCACACGTTGACACTGACAGCACTGTTGTCCCACACGTTGACACTGACAGCACTGTTGTCCCACACGTTGACACTGACAGCATTGTTGTCCCACTCGTGACACTGACAGCATTGTTGTCCCACTCGTTGACACTGACAGCATTGTTGTCCCACTCGTTGACACTGACAGCATTGTTGTCCCACTCGTTGACACTGACTGCATTGTTGTCCCACTCGTTGACACTGACAGCATTGTTGTCCCACACGTTGACACTGACAGCATTGTTGTCCCACTCGTGACACTGACAGCATTGTTGTCCCACTCGTTGACACTGACAGCATTGTTGTCCCACTCGTTGACACTGACAGCATTGTTGTCCCACTCGTTGACACTGACTGCATTGTTGTCCCACTCGTTGACACTGACAGCATTGTTGTCCCACTCGTGACACTGACAGCATTGTTGTCCCACTCGTTGACACTGACAGCATTGTTGTCCCACTCGTTGACACTGACAGCATTGTTGTCCCACACGTTGACACTGACAGCATTGTTGTCCCACACGTTGACACTGACAGCATTGTTGTCCCACTCGTGACACTGACAGCATTGTTGTCCCACTCGTTGACACTGACAGCATTGTTGTCCCACTCGTTGACACTGACAGCATTGTTGTCCCACTCGTTGACACTGACTGCATTGTTGTCCCACTCGTTGACACTGACAGCATTGTTGTCCCACTCGTTGACACTGACAGCATTGTTGTCCCACTCGTTGACACTGACAGCATTGTTGTCCCACTCGTTGACACTGACTGCATTGTTGTCCCACTCGTTGACACTGACAGCATTGTTGTCCCACACGTTGACACTCTCTAATAAGCAACGAACATTATTTTCAACATTGTCATTATTATTTTATTATTATTATTATTATTATTATTATTATTATTATTATTATTATTATTATTGTTGTTGTTATTATTATTATTATTATTATTATTATTATTATTATTATTATTATTATTATTGTTGTTGTTATTATTATTATTATTATTATTATTATTATTATTATTATTATTATTACTACTATTATTATTATTGTTGTTATTATTATTATTATTATTATTATTATTATTATTATTATTATTATTATTATTATTATTATTATTATTATTATTATTCGCTTTAATGTGTTATCAAGTTTATTATATCATATTTAGCATGAGTTTTGTAGTTAATTCGTATTACTAATAACTTTATGTACCTTTGTTCCTTGCCTTTTAAAAGGAGCACAGTAACCTTGCCTTTTAAAAGGAGCACAGTAACCTTGACTTTTAAAAGGAGCACAGTAACCTTGCCTTTTAAAAGGAGCACAGTAACCTTGCCTTTTAAAAGGAGCACAGTAACCTTGACTTTTAAAAGGAGCACAGTAACCTTGACTTTTAAAAGGAGCACAGTAACCTTGCCTTTTAAAAGGAGCACAGTAACCTTGACTTTTAAAAGGAGCACAGTAACCTTGACTTTTAAAAGGAGCACAGTAACCTTGCCTTTTAAAAGGAGCACAGTAACCTTGACTTTTAAAAGGAGCACAGTAACCTTGACTTTTAAAAGGAGCACAGTAACCTTGACTTTTAAAAGGAGCACAGTAACCTTGACTTTTAAAAGGAGCACAGTAACCTTGCCTTTTAAAAGGAGCACAGTAACCTTGCCTTTTAAAAGGAGCACAGTAACCTTGACTTTTAAAAGGAGCACAGTAACCTTGCCTTTTAAAAGGAGCACAGTAACCTTGCCTTTTAAAAGGAGCACAGTAACCTTGACTTTTAAAAGGAGCACAGTAACCTTGACTTTTAAAAGGAGCACAGTAACCTTGACTTTTAAAAGGAGCACAGTAACCTTGTCCTTTTAAGAAGAATACTATGTTAATTTTTCATTTGTTACCAGCACAAAAATTACTTGCTTGTCAATAATGAAAGTCTATTGTTTATGCAAATATTAGATATCACTATTACTGGCATGTATTATTGGTAGGTAATAACAATCACTGAGGCACACAGTACATACTAAACTAAAAAAAAAAGCATAGAGGGCCCCAACACTTTGATTCCGAATGAAGTTACAGTAGTGATACACTAGTGAAAATTGCTGATAGGTATTAATAGCAATGTTAGTTATATAGTTCATATAATCAGTCACATAAAAATAACATTGAGGTATCTTCAGTGATACAGAGACACTAGTCTAAGCATACGGAAAATGTTCTTTGTTGATTAAACAAGTTACAAAGGCTGTGGGTTGTTTATGTTAGGCAAACAATGAATTATTTATGAGGTGTTTTAATATTCTAGGATTTTTTCACATTAAAGTTTACATCCAGTTAGGGCTAAAATAGTTGGTGGATATTTCCAAGGTATCTGTAATGTAGCCGAAGTTCAGCAGTAGTAGCATCGAAGAGTCTACTGATTTTACTGGATGTGTCTTAGATGGACTGACTAGTGTCAATAACACTGTCTCAAGTCTATGAGCAACACTGTATGACCCTTGTAGGTTTAGCACTTAGTTAGGATTTTAATAACAGTAATAAAGTCTATAAAGGTTATTTGGACAGTCCAGTCTGAAGTCCTTCCTTGAGGGTGTACATCAATGCCAGCTTCCGAGATCTATCATACGTTTGAAAACCGTTGTGTGAGGGATCCCACAGAACATAAAGTTTACCTGGAGATTGTTCTGGGTCAGCAGCCTCATTCACAGCCGGGTCCCAGACCAGGCAACACAGGCTGACTGGTCGGGAACTGACTTGAGGACCTTATCAGATTCACTTCTGATGACAACTTGGAGTCTCTTGTTAATCCCCTTATACTATAAGAAGGGTGTTGGATAGACTTGGCCCCCTTACACTAAAGAGTTTTCTCTTTGTAAATTCAGTGCTCCCTTGCTTTTCAGTAGAGGTATTTTCAACCATCTGCTAGACTTCTTACTTTAGCTGAGTTGGATTTCGGTTCGCAGCTGTGGGAACACTCTCTCTAGAACTTTCCAGGTGTAAATTAGGCTGTATATTTCTTATGTACGTTTCAAGGAGCACAGTTCAAGGGACCTCAAACATGCCCATTAATTTAGGTTCTTGACAAAGTTTATACAGGTATTAATAATTCTCTGTACATTTTAAGGTTTGCAATTTTCCCTGCCTTAAAAGGGGCTGTTAGTATACAGCAATATTCCTACCTAGAGAGAGCAAGTGACTTGAAAATAATCAACATTGGCTTGACGTTTCATATTTTGATGATTCTAGTTATCCACCCTTTCATTTTCCTTGCATCTGTGATAATAACACTGTCGTGATTCTTATATCTGAGATCGTTTGACATCATCACTCCTAAATCTCTCACATTAAACATCCACTCTTATTAATAATTCGAGTTTTTGTGTTCTCCTCTCCTATTTTTATTTCATCAAATTATCCTTAGTTTAGTAACTGAAAATTGTTTTCATTGAATTTCATATTGTTATCAGTGGCCCACTGGAAGATTTCGCTTCTGTCAGCTTGAAGGGTTGCTGTATACTCTGTGAATGTCACTAGTATCATCTGCAAAGGACGATGCATTTCTATGCTTTATGTCTCTGTCTATGTCAAACAACAGAACAAGAAAGAGAATTGGGGCAAGTACAGTGCCTTGGGGGACAGCTTTCATCTTGCGCACTTGTTACATTTGCATTCTATTTGTTACCACTTTTGCACTCGTCAGTCCATGAAAGAAAATGCTACAACGTATACTGTCAGGCACATCATCTAAAGGGGACAAGAAGAGACAGATCACCTACACCATGGGAAACAAAAGACGGGAGCCAAAACCTCTCAGAGAAGGAGATCTTTTAGCACTTGGAAGGAAAAAGGACTGACAAGAAATGACATAAATCCTACACCTGTGGTTCGTACGTCGGTTTACGTGCGGCCAGCAGTAACAGCTTGGTTGATCAGATCCTGATCCATCACGAGCCCTGGTCTCAGACCGAGCCGCGGGGGCCTTGACCCCCGAACCCCACCTCCAGTATACATCAGTTATCTTTTTACACACATTTTGTTCGTATGCCCATCGTCATACCTGAAGTTTTACCAAGTCTTTGTACAACATCATTTTGCTCGTCTCAGTACACCAT